AGAGCGTGGGATCTACTCAGAGAAGTCTTTCCAGTCGAATACCCTTCATGGGCAGAGAAAGTCACCCGTGTGCTTTTGGTTTTGCTTTTAGCTGAATCCAGCACTTCTGTATTTACATTTCAGAAGTAAACAGAGATTAGAGATTAAGCATGATGCTGCTCTTAGTGGGTCATTTGTAACATGTCTCTAGCACACATTCTAAATAAACGCATGCTGTCTTGCCTAAGTGGACCAGGGTGTTCACACTTGTTACAGCTGTGAGGTGAGCAACAAATGCTGCCTTGATGCAGAAGATGCCTAATCAGTTGCTTCAAGGGAAAAGGATTCTATTTTATCCCTTTGTAAGGAAGGAACTCTGTTACTTTTAATGGAGAGATTTTTAACATCTTCTCTTTATTTGCTCCACTTTCATTTGTATTTCCTTAGTGAGAGAAAGAATGGTGCAATGATGAGAAGATTTCAAAACTGAAATACAGAGTTTGCTAGAACAGGGAGCGTTTTTCAAGCTTTTACATCTCACGGCACATGTAAGCTAATTACTAACAGGTGGCGGCACACCGACACATACATTTTTTGCTGACCTGACAAAAGATGGATATACTTTTGGTTTATTCACACTGATGACTATGGTGTTCGCTGTTGTCATTTCGTTATTAGACAATCCAAGGCAAACGAGGTCAGGTATTGCACGTTTTAAAAATCCTTGCGGCACAGCAGCTGAAAATCGCTGGAACAGGAAACAGGCTTCAAAGTGACAGTGGCAATGAAAGTGACAGCCACCCAAATGTCACCCCAGACGCACCCTTTGCAGCCGGTGTTGTCTTGGAGAGGAGGTAGGTTCAGAGGTGAGTTGCCACAGACAAAGACCGTGGGGGATGGGGAGCACCCTGGTCGGAGGTATTGCCACTGCACCCAGGTTAAAAACTGGGTTTTTTTCTAAGCACAGTCTGAGAAACAGGCTTTTAAACATTTTGTTTCCATATAGCCTCTGTTTCAGCATCTAGTAAACTTCTAGGAGACTAGTCACATAATAGCTACTGCCACAACAAATAAGAAGTTCTTCCCTGGAAAAAAGTTTTGGGTTAAAATTATTTACTTTGTTGGATTTTGGCCAATGTCCCTATAATAAATCTGACTCACTCTGGGTGATCTTCTAGTTCTGCGTTGTTGGTTTTTTTTGCGGGGAGGCTGGTGGGAGGGGATCTTATCTTTCTCCATTGCAGTTATCATCGATGTGTAGACACATTCCTGGTCTATATATCAGACCTGGACTTCTCCTCTGAGCTCCAGGGGCCTATTTTCAAGGACCTGCTTGACAGTCCTCCTTGAATATTGTAAAAGCGTGTCAAACCAACAAGCCTGAAACAGAACTGGTGTCCTTTCTTCCCAAACCTGATCTTTCCAGCATCCTTATCTCACTCAGCACATTGCCCCACCATCCACCCATTTACAGGAGCCAGAGACCTAGGAGTTATCTTGAAAAATCTCCTTTCCCTCACTGTGAATGCCCAAGCCATCACCTGGTCCTTTCAGTTTTGTTACTAAATATCTCCAGAATCTGTTACCTTCTCCCTCTCCACCCAGACCCCCTTAATCTGGCCCAGCATCCCCTCCAGCCCGGACTCCTGCAAAGCCTGCCCAATGGCTCCCCAGCACCCACCCACAGCTTCTGATCAAACTTCCACTCTGCAGCCACCATCACCCTCTCTAAATGCAAGTCTGAGTATGGCCTAGGCCAGTGGTCGGCAAACTGCGGCCCCTTGAGTGTGACTCTTTCACAAAATACCATGTGCGGGCACGCACATACAGTGCTAATGAAACTTCATGGCCACACTCAAGGGGCCAAAGAGCCGCACGTGGCTCGCGAGCCGCAGTTAGCCGACCACTGGCCTAGACATCACGCACGTGCTCCGTGACTTCTCTTACAGAAGCGTGTTCCTTCCCTTTAGAGCTCTCCACTCGCTGTGTAGTCATATACTCATTAGTAGAATGATCCTCCCAACACTGTTAAGCTGCTTCCAAAGGGACTGCCCGCTTCTGTGTTATTTCAATCGCAGTGCTAGGCGAGTGAATAAAGGGTCACTCATTCGTATATGGCATTTATAAATGGCATACCTTTAAATACCTGTTCAAGCCATTGGAAGAATTAAATCACAGTTTCTCATCCTAAGACCATTTTGAGGTAGAAAGGATGGGACTGACTTTCACTGAGAAGCAGAGTGACAGGAGAGCCATGCCTGCTGAGCCTTAAGCCAGGGCCAGAGTGTGGTGCTTTGGATTCGGAGACTTGTTCTCCTTCCCTCACAACCCACTCCCTTCACCATAACAAGCCTCATCAGCCGCACGGTCCTCAATGCTGGAGAGCAGGGGAAGGACATTTAACACTATGTTGGAACTCTGCCCGGCCAGCGTGGCTCAGTGGTTGAGTGTCCACCTATGAACTAGCAGGTCACGGTTCCATTCCCAGTCAGGGCAAATGCCCGGATTGCAGGCTCCTCCCCGGTGGGCGGTGTGCAGGAGGCAGCTAATCAATGATTCTCTCTCATCACTGATGTTTGGATCTCTCTCTCCTTCTCCCTTCCTCTTTGAAATAAATTTAAAAAAATGTATATTTTTTAAAATGACAGAAAACCACCCTAGCTCAGTGGATAGAGTGTTGATTTGTGGACTGAAGGGTCCTGGGTTCGATTCCAATCAAGGGCACATGCCCAGGTTGCCGGTTCAATCCCCAGTAGGAGGCATGAAGAAGGCAGCTGATCAATGTTTCTCTCTCGTCATTGATGTTTCTCTCCCTCTCTCCCTCTTCCTTCCTCTCAGAAATCAATAAAAATATATTTTAAAAAAAAGAAAGTCCAATCCACAGTGAATTCTAAAGGGAATCCTCCATGTCAGTCATGAAGATCTGCTCTCTACTCCCAAGCAGTGAGCAGAGGTTTCCCGAGGCAGCATAAAGCACTGTATTGCATACAGCCCTGCACATGGAAGACCCTGACTTTGTTCTGCCACAAAGTCAGCATGTGACCTTGAGCAAGTCGGGAGCTATCTCGGAGCCCTCCTGCTTCATTTGCAAAAGGAAGATACCAGTCACTTATCTGCCTACCTCACAGGGTCATGGTGGGGATTAAATTGAAAGATGCCCATGAAAGTGTTTTTACTTTTCTCATCTGAACTTCTGCAGTCTTTATATGTAGCACTTTTACCGAATATCTTTTACTTGTATGGTACAGTGAGGAGATCACTGGACTGGAAACCTTGCATTTAAATTCTGATTTTAATATTTACTGGTTGTGTAGCTCTTCAGGCAGTATTTTTGAGGCTTTCTGAACAGAGCAAGGCGTGCTCATCTGTAATATGGAGATTATCATTCCTGCTTTCTGAGGATCAAATGGGCTAATGTTTGTGAAAGTGATAAAGTCCTTTCTAATTATCAATTGGAGAATATCTGCATTCCACTGACGTCCATTTCTAACCAACACCATGATTTGCACATGGCACTGCTAACAAGAATGAGGTGCTTATGGGGCACCAGGCGATGGGCATCTGTCTTAGGCACTTTCTCTTAACTTCATTTAATACTCATCACACCGTGACATGTTGGGTCAATGATGATCCCAAGTGCGGAAAGCACGGCCCCAGTAATTGGCCCAAGGCACACAACTAGTCACATTCTGAGCCAGGACTGAAACCCAAGCAATTCAATCCCAGAGCCACAGGGCCTTACCCTTTCGGCTACACTGTGCCACACTCCTTAAGTAACTTTAGATTACTAAGTGGGAGGTATGGTATGCTATGCATGAATTAAAAAGTTTGCTCCTGTAAGTTTTATATGGTAAATAAATGATGCAAATAAACTAATTCATCAAGTCAGAAAATCATTAGAAATAAGCCTACAGAGGAAATTCATGTCATAATTCTAAAAAATATCAAGAGAGCTTGGTTCTTTTCCAGGTTAATCCGTTGGGAGGAAGTTAGGTAGTCACTGAGAGCACCTGCTTTAGAGTCAGGCCTGTATTAAACCCTGGTCCCACCACCGTACTAGCTGTGTCACAGAGGTGCGAAATTCTTCCTTAAGGGGGATGTTGTTGTTGTGAGGATTCGATAAGCCAACTTCTGTCGGATGCTTAGTCTGGTACCTGGCACCGTAAGTGCTCAGTAAATGCCTGCTCCCGTTATCCATGCTTACGCTGTGGGCATGGGCATGTGATTCCAGCCTCCCCAGAGCACCCGTCTCTAACTGTTCAAGTAGAAGGAAATTCAAGTAAAAGGATTCAAAAGATCCCTTTCAAGTCTAATGATTTTTAGGTACTAAGAGGGGATAGATGGATATCTCTGAAGCAATTGTGTCCTGTGAATTCTGACTTTCAGGATCTAAGATTTATGCCTCTCCCTGATTTATGGAGTGAAAGCACTGAGGCGGATGAATAAAAAAATGTTTACTATGGCACTTGCATTTATTGCCACCATTAACTACTCAGGCAGATTCATGATAATCTGAGCCAGAGTAATTTGCCTGACAAAATCATTGCTAATCTGAGGTAAATGTTCAATCCAAGACTTTTAGAAAGCTATTGTGTTAAAGATTTTAATAAATATGAGCAAACAAGCATCACAGCTCAGAAGCAGGTGGTTGAGCATCATCCCAGGCACCCAGAGGTCACTGGTTCAATTCCCGGTCAGGGCACTTCCCCAGGTTTTGGGTTTGATTCCCTATAGGGGGCATGCAGAAGGCAGCTGATCAATGTTTCTCTCTCCCATCCACATTTCTTTTTCTCTCTCCCCCTTCCTCTTTCTCTAAAATCAATTTTTAAAAAACATATTTTAATTAAAGAAAAACCCAACAGAGAAAGGAGTCATAAAGTCTCCATTTAGTAATGAGTGAAGGACACAGAGTTGATTCCACAGGGCTCCGAGGTCCCTGCCAAAATGTGCCGCCGCCAGTGCCCCACAGTGTACCTCTCAAGAGAGGGGTGGCTAGGCTGAATTCTCCTGGTAGCACCTACCTGTTGTCACCTTCTCTGGAGAAAAAGACAGTGAAGGTTTGAATGTTCCCTTTTGCTTCTGCGGGTGGGCGCCAGCTGAGACGGATGAACCGACTGGAAACCAGGACAGGGACCACATCTCTGGGAGCGGAAGGGAGCACACTGGAGCTTGGGATCGCTGAGGAGGAAGGAGAGGAGGCGGTCAGAGGTGTCAGTACCACGGGTGGGCAAAGGGCAGGGAAGCAAAGCAGACCCAGCAGCAAACACAGAATGGCACATCCACACAGATGCTAGGGAAATGAAGACAAACCAGGAAAGAAACAGTAAACGGAATCAAAGGTGTAACAGGATTTCTTCGAGTTTATGAAAAGGTGGCTAATTAACCGCATATTTAATTTGACTCATTTTTTCCGTTTCTATTAATCATGAGATCAATGACAATAAGACTAAATGTCCTATTTAAATGTGAAGCGGGGAAACATGACCATGGACCTGCACGTATTGATAAATGCCTCAGGTAACCAAGTGGCTGTTACAGAACCTCAATCCTCTCAGAGCCTGTTTACACGGTTTTTGGTATAATTTGAGGAACTTTCCTATGCATTCCCTAAGACCACAGAAAATTTAAAGAAGTAAATTAAAATCAATGGGAGCTAACAAGTATAGGGTGTCCCAAAATTCACACAAGATTTGAATTTTGCGTGAGCATTAACAACAACAACAAAAAAATAAAAGCCTAATTTTACTTGGTTTATTGAGTCAGACTCTAATATCTGTTGCACTTTGATTTCAATCCCTTCAATTTGATAAGCATCACCAAGTACCAATGATGGCCCAGGAGCAGGGACAATGAAGACCAATGAAGACCACGGCTTTGCATATGTTCCAGCAAAGCCGTGGAGGCCATTTACCTGATGTGCTATTCCATACATAACCTTATACTATATACTTTATGAATCAAAAAAAATTTACAATTTTTAATTATAAACCTGTGTTTTCTATCAAAATTACTTCTTGCGTGAATTTTGGGACACCCTATAGAAACAGTACTCATGGACTACCTGCTAGTAAGGGAAATGACCCCCCCCCCCAAAAAAAAAATCCTAGGACACATAAAGATAGGCAACTGCACCTATCAAAATTATCAAAATCTGACCATTGTTATTCATAGGAATAACTCAATCATTCACAATTGCAAAACTGGCTTTTTAAACTTTTGGGGCATTGCTAACCTGTATTAGAAGTTTTTGAGTGTGTGTGTGTGTGTGTGTGTGTGTGTGTGTGTGTGAATTCATAACTCACCTTTGCTGGGAAGATATTTTCTTATGTGTTCAAGCCCCCAGGTCTAGGGAATGTGAGTTTCTGGCCCCAAATCACAAGAGCCCATTTTCCTACATTTAATCTTCAGACTGTCTTTGTGCTCCATTTGTATCCAGTTCTTATAAAAGGGAGCCTCCTTTCTTGTATTCTCTTTGTCTGTGGGCTGGGTGCTGGGAGCTGCACCCCTGTTAGCTAGAAAACCACTTGGGGGGCGGGGGCCATCTCATTTCCCAGCGGTTCCAGAAACATTATCAATTTACAGTACATACAGGTGATACAGAGGGAGAGGTTTTAAAGAACTGCAGAAAGCTTTCAAAGTGATTTCTGGCTCTGCGGCTTCCCAGCCCATGTCTTCATTGATAGACTTTCCCCTGGCTTTCTTGATCAGCACAGCATTAGAAATAAATGGGAGACTAGCAGGGGCAGAGCCAATCATCTGTGGCAGAGTGGAGAGGGGAGGGTGGAAGGCTGATGCCTGGATATGCAGCGCCTCTGTCCAAAACATGGGTGATATCAACCCTCTTGACAAAACCTGTTACTTGCATACACCTTGGACAGCGCCAACCAGCGCCATGAAGGGAATTCATCCCCTCCCTCCCCACTCACTGCCGGTCCCCTCCAAGGCTGCTTAACTCACTCATATCTACACTGTCCTCTCAACTGTACAGCCCGAAACCCCAATTGTGTCTCCTATTCCCGACTCTCTCCCACTCGCCCCTTCTGGGGTCCCCGCTCCTGGACAACTTACTTTATCTGCACGGCCACACTTACAGCCACACCATCACTCTCTCCCCAGAATGTCATGCTCTCCTCCAGCTCCCCTGCTCCCCCTGCCACTCCCCTCCCACACGGGTGTTCTCTGTGCAGCGTCCAGAATAAGCTTGTAAAGGACACGTCTGGTCACAGCACTCTACTGTTGATTATCCTCCAGGCCTACTCCTCCCTCAGAAACACCAAACTTCTCAGTCTGCCTGCTGGCCTGGCTGCTGTGGACCACTTTCCTTGGCTTGGCTTCCTCCACAAAGAGAGTTAGAAAAGGCCTCCAGTGCACATGCTTTATTCGGAAGGTGATCCCAGGAAACACCCTCGGGGAGTGGGGAAGTGAGGCAGCAGGGAGAGAGCTATCTGGCAGTTATTGCTGTGGAAACTGAAGGGAGCCCCACTGGGGACTCTGGGAGTCAGGGTGTCACAAACCTCTGAGCGATCCACTCCTGAAGGAAGCAGGCTGGGGCATTGATCTACCATCCTACTCTCCTCCACTCATTGAGGATGATTCCCAGGGAGTTAGCCATCCTGCATGGTAGCCTAGTGCGTTCCTATCACCACAAAAATACCGCCTAGTGCGTTCCTATCACCGCAAAAATACCACCTAGTGCATTCTTATCACCGCAAAAATACTGCCACCTAGAACAGGGGTGGGCAAACTTTTTGACTCGAGGGCCACAATGGGTTCTTAAACTGGACCGGAGGGCTGGAACAAAACATGGATAGAGTGTTTGTGTGAACTAATATAAATTCAAAGCAAACATCATTACATAAAAGGGTACGGTATTTTTTTTTTTACTTTTATTCATTTCAAACGGGCCGGATCCGGCCCGCGGGCCATAGTTTGCCCACGGATGACCTAGAGGCTTGTAGGTGTCCACAGTAAGCAGCAACCATTGGCTCTATTCATTCAGCATATGTTCTAGAGCATCCATGCCATGTCAACCCTCCTGCTAGGCCCGGAGGAGCGTGGTCCCTGGTAGCTTCCATGAGCTCCTGGCTCTTTAGCGAGCTCTGCGGCAGAGTGGAGAGGCAAGGGGGAAGGTGCCTGCTGAGCCAAGAGCAACTCCCTGGGACCAGGGCACAGGCAGCTCCCACCCATGAGAAACCCATCTCATTCACTTGACTCCCACTTTCCTCTTGACTTAGGTGCCTTTCCTTTGGCAAGATGGACCAAAAGCATTCACAAAATATGTATCTACCAGGTACTAATTCATATCTATAAAATTATAAAGAATGTCTAAAAAATCAATAAAATGAGGAATCTTATTTTAAAATAAGGTTCAACCTGACAAATAAATGTGCATTAAAATAAAATCTAAAAATGTCTGTCTGAATAAAGTCTATTGAAACAATCCGTCTGTACTCAGTCAGTGTGGCTCAGTGGTTGAGCATTGACCTATGAACCAAAAGGTCACAGTTTGATTCCAGGTCAGGGCACATGCCCTAGTTGCAGGCTCGATCCTCAGTGTGGGGATCAATGATTCTCTCATCATCAGTGATGTTTCTATTTCCCTCTCCCTCTCCATTCCTCTCTGAAATCAATAAAACATATTTAAAAAATAAAATAGCAAGACTATTTTATTATGAGTAGCAAGACTTTAGAGAGTGTTACTACCTGGTTTTGGCCATGGAGTTCCACTCCCTTACGCTCTCAGCTGAAGCCTGTGAAAGTACAGACTTCAGAAGTCAATCTGGCAAAATTCTTTAAAATGAAAAATATTCATACCATTTGACTAAGCACTTTCATGTCCATAACTTTCAAAAATAAATACCCCATTTATCAATGTGCTGATGTGAAATCATTGGACTTTTCTTCAAAATATAATGCCTGTACATTTTATCAGTTTAAAGAAAAGGGGACTCTTATGGACTATTTTTACAAAAGATTTTTTTAAACACAAAAGGTGATCAGTGATGACTGAAAAATCTTAGGAAAATTTTCAAGTTAGAAAATAATTTTTAAAAGAACAAGAGAGAAATTTCAAATCCTTTTTGTCCCAAAGCCCCTCCCTTATAGATGATATCACATCGAAGTGAGTAGGGTCCCCATCCATTCAGGGACACCAGGGAGGAGAGCAGTGGAGTCTCTCCACTCGAATGCTCTTCTCTCCAGCTTCCCCCAGTGCCTTCTCTCAGAGCTGGTCTACACTCCGAGGCACAGATAGAGCTCAGAAAAGAATTGATCACGGACTCTTTACTTCAATTTAAATGGTCCTTATATGAAAAGGAAGGGACGCATTTTTAACAAAGGAATGGCTTCTTGCTTTACACAGGGAAATTAATTTTGTTCTGACTAATCCTCCATGCTTTCTCTCAACAGTAACTTGTCTTCACAGAGGTCTCACTCAATAAGGAACCAATCAGGACTCCTTTTCTTTGCTCTTGGAGGCCTAATCTCCACTCTGGTCCTAATCTCTCTGGCCCATTACTGTTGCCATGGCTACAACTTCTGTTGTCATGGAGAAGAGGAGGCGAATTTGTCACACTCTAACATAGTCTTTTTTTTTTTTAAAGAACCTCTTTAAAAAAAATTATCATAGCAAAATCCAGGAATAAGAGGTGATTTCTGAAGATAATATAAATGGGAAGAATAGATAGTTTTGAAACAAAAAAACTATGAATAACATTTTTATGATGTCATTGCAATAGCCTTGGTAATAATTATATTATTGGGTTAATTTTTCCGTGAAGCTACATTTTGTCTACATACCAGAGACTTGTTCTGTCAAATTTTTACTATGTTGTTATATGAGTATTATTTTATATCTGTGCTATTAACAGTATCTGACCTCCACTTCTATGAGGCATATGAAAGATGATAAAATGTATTCACAAAATCACAAAAATATTTAATTTGCATTAAATATCAAACAACAAATAGGCTTTTTCCACTGTCACTCCCCATGTTGTTAACTGAAGTACTATCAGGTCAGCTAGATGCTTTCTTCCGTGTATCTCCTTATTATCTTGAAGATTTAATACAAATAAAATATAACCAGATAACATTAGTGACATGACAGGAACATTTAATTGTCCTAAGAGCAAACATTTATTTATTTGCCTTTGGCGTTTTTTTTCTTGTTGGTGCTC